CGGCCGAGCGGCTCGTGCGCGCGCTCGTCACGGCGGCGGCGCTCGACGAGCCGGCGGACGACGAGCGGACGCACGGCGTCTTCCCGTCGGAGGTGAACGAGCACTTCTTGAAGAAGATACGGAAGCAGAACCCGAAGCTGCCCGCGGAGACGCTCGCGGAGGCGCACCACTCGCAGTACGGCGGCGCGTGGATGAAGGGCCGGGACCAGTTCGAGACGCTCGTGAACCGCGGGCTCCGGCCGCACCACACGTTCCTCGAATTGGGCTGCGGGAGCCTGCGCGCGGCCATCTACGTCATCGAGTTCCTCGACGCGGGGAACTACTACTGCCTCGAGGAGGACCGCGCGAGCCTCCGCGCGGGCATCACCTACGAATTGCGGCTCCACGGCCTCCTCGCGAAGCGGCCGCGCCTCCTCGCGAGCCGGACCTTCGACCTCCCGGCGCTCGTGTCGCGCTCGCGGGCGCCCGCGGACCTTCGGTTTGATTTCTCCTACGAGTTCAGCGTGCTCATGCACATCTGCCGCGGCTGCCGCGACGCCGTCTGCGTCGCGGGGCTGCACGCGGCCGCGAGCCGGCTGAAGCCCGGCGGCGCGTTCGTGACGAACAAGCGGCTCTCGCCGGCCATCGACCTGGCGCGCTTCGGCCTCGAGGTCGACGGGCCCTGCGTCCGCCCGGACTCGCACTTCCTCGCGAGCCGCGAGGCGAGCTGCGCCTACCGGCGGACGGACGCGCCGCTCGCGCCCCTGGACGCGTCCTGGTGGACGGCCAAGTCGCCGGACGCGGGCCACGAGTGCTTCGTGCCCGGCGCGCAGCCGCCGCGGCCCTACACGATCGGCGACGCGGAAGGCCGCGCGGCGTGGCTCGCGGCGCTGTCCTGGGAGTGGACGCGCATCCTCGGCCGCAACACGACCTTCAACGACGGCGCGCTGGACGGGCGACCGGCGGGGACTAAAACGCGCGCTTCTTGACCTCTTGTTTTAGGAAGGCCTGGCGAGTGCCATGGCGAGGGGCTCTTCAACTGCGCAACTTGCACTTCATCGGGTCGACGTTGGAGCTCGAAGAAGGGCATGAGCTAGGTCCAAGAGTGTCGCTCCGTGCACGCACCCAAGGTCGCCGACGCGCTCCTCGACGTCGGCCCCAACGCTCTTCTAGACGCGCGAACGACGATGGGCTGGTTCCCGGGCCTCGGCGCGAAAGAGGAGTCGAGCTCCTACAGCATCCTCGGCACGCAGACGGAGGCGACGAGCAACCCCCTGGCCTCCGCGACGCAGGCTCTGAACAATGCGGCGAACACGGCGCGCCGCACCGTGGGCATCCCCGTGCCCGAGGAGGAGAAGACCATGGAGGACCAGGTCTGCGAGATGTGCCCGACGATGACGTTCAAGCAGCGGCTCACGGCGCTCATCGCGTGCTGCGTGCTCGGCTACCTCCTCGAGATCTGCGGGAGCCTGACGCTCATCGGCGGGCCGTCGGCGGAGAACATCCGCAAGTTCTGCCTGCTCTACGTGAGCGGGAACCTCATCGCCATCATGGCGACGTGCTTCTGGGTGGGCCCCAAGTACATGTGCAGGAAGATGATGAAGAAGTCGCGGCGCTGCGCGACGATCTTCTACCTCGTCACGCTCGTCGCCGTCGTCGTCCTCGCGCTCCTCAAGGTCGCGCTCATCTTCGTGCTCCTGATGCTGTCCGTCGAGCTCTGCGCGGCGATCTGGTACAGCGCGTCCTACCTGCCCAAGGGCCGCTGGTGCATCGTCCAGTGCTGCAAGCAGTCGCTCTTCTCGCCGTGCCCCGACGTGCTCAACCCCGTGGAGGCGTCGCTCCCCGTCGTCTAGTGGTCTGGTTTTTTTAACTTCGCGCTTGAGGTCCGGCGGCGCCGCCGGCCTAGTAGCCGGCGCCGAGGCCGCGCAGGCAGAGGAGCTTGCCGCCGGGCCGCGTCTCGCAGGCGAGGTCCTTGAGCTTGTTCTTCTCCGCCTTGACCTTGTTGGCCGCGTCGCGGGCCTTGCGGGCCGTCGCCTCGAGCTCCTTGGCGTCCGCGTCCGCGGCCTTGTACTCGTCGTTCTTCGCCTTGGCGTTCGCGTCGCGGACCTCCTGCGACACGCCGTCGACGCCCGGCCGCGCCTTGGCGGGCTTCTCGTCGGGGATCGTGAACTTGGTGACGGACTTGGGCGAGTCGCCGCCGTAGGAGAGGCCCGGCGTCTTGGGGATGTCGAACTTGGGCGCCGCGGGCGCGGAGAACTTGGGCGCGGCCGGCGCCGAGTACTCGGGGATGTCGAACTTGGGCGCGCTGATCTTGGGCGCCGGCGGCAGGTCGAACTTGGGCGCGTCGAATTTCGGCGCGTCGAATTTCGGGGCGTCGAATTTGGGCGCGTCGAATTTCGGCGCGTCGAATTTCGGAGCGTCGAACTTCGGCGCCGGCGGGAGGTCGAACTTCGGCGCGTCGATCTTCGGCGCCTCGAACTTGGGGATGTCGGGGATGTCGAATTTCGGCGCGTCGATCTTGGGGATGTCGACTTTCGGGATGTCGAAGGACGGCGCGGGCGCCTTCTCCGCGGGCGGCGTGACCTTGGCCGCGGCCTTGGCGGCGGCCTTCTCGGCGGCGGCGGCGGCCTTCTCCTTGGCCGCCGAGTCCTTGAGCGACGCGGCCTCGGCCTCGGCCTTGGCCTTGGCCTCGGCCTGGAGCTTCTTGGTCTGCTCGAGGCGCGCGGCCTTGTCCGCGGCGACCTGGTCGGCCTTGGCCTTGGCCGCGGCCTCCTTGGCCTTGTCGGCCTCGGCCTTGGCGGCCTTGGCGGCGTCGGCCTCGGCCTTGGCCGCGGCCTTGTCGGCCTTGGACGTGTCCGGCGCGGGCGCGGGCGCGGGCGCGGGCGCGGGCGCCTCCTTGGGCGCCTCGATCGCGATGCTCGACCCCTTGCCGCCCGTCGACGACATGCCGTAGATGGAGTCGTAGTCCGCGGCCGAGAGCGCGACGGCGGGCAGCGGCGCGAGCTGCGCGCCGGCGACGACGCCCGCGGCGAGGACCGACGCGCCGAAGCGCTTCGCGGCCTCGGCGGCGCCGGCGAGCGGCCGCTGCGCCGGGCTCGGCGGCGCGTGCACGGGTCGGAGCGCCGTCGCGGCGCTCGCGCAGAGGGCGAGCAGGAAGGCGCGCATCGTACCTGCGGCGGCAGCGGAGGGCTCTCGGAATGCAGAATCCTCGATCAGGGGTTGCCGCACGCGCGGCGCCGCGAGCGATGTCGCGCGATGCTCTCGCGTCGGGCGGCGCGGAGGATGCGTGCGCAAAGCTCTGGGTGCAGCGTGGCGGACGCTGCGGCGCACCGACGGCGGCTGTGGTGCTCCGAGCAGCCGGAGTTCAAGCTCCGTGGCTCGCAGGTCCAGCCCTGTTACGCACTCGGCGCGGGCGCGTTCACGGCCGGGTCGAGCGTGTCGGAGATGGCGACGTGCTTGCCGTTGTCCTCGGGCGGCGCGTGGTCGACGCGCGGCGACTTGGGCGGCGGCGGCGGCTCGGGCACGGCGATCTTCTCCACGGCCGCGGCGAGCCCGGCCTCGCGCGCGAGCGTGTCGAGCCACTCGTCCTCGTCGAGGAGGCCGTTCAGGTCCGCGTCGTGGTCGAAGAGCTTGTCGTCCCAGTCGCTCGGCCAGGCCTCGCCGACGAGGCCCCGCAGCTCCGCGAGGAGCTCCGACCGGTCGATCTTGCCCGCGTACGCGTCCGCGGGCCGGTTCTTGTTCACCTCGCGGTAGACGTGCTTGAAGACCCGGAAGCCGTTGGACGCGACGGCGGCCTCGAGCGCCGCGAGGACCGCGGGGTCCTCCGGCGGCGTCTGTTTCAGCCGCGCGACGCGCGCCTCCAAACTCACGTACGTTTTTACTTTGCCAGTGAGCGGGTCGACGTGGAGCTTGATGGCCTTGCTCAGCCGCGGGATGGCCGACACGCAGGAGATCCACTCGCTGAGAGAGACCGAGGTCTCCTCCGTGACCTCCTCCGTGAAGGCGAGCGTCTTCATGACCTCCTCCAGTTCGATCTCTGTCTCGCCCGCGTGGAGCACCTGGTGGTTGATCGCGTCGACGAGCGGTTTCAGCTCCTTCGTGTGCAGCGCGTCGCCGTCCGGGACGAGGGACGAGAAGAGCAGGATCGCCGGCAGCACGCCCTCGAGCTCCGCCTCGATCTCCTCCTTCGTCGACGCGCCGCACTCGTCCAAAAAGTAGGCGCGCAGGGCCGCGCCGCCGATGATCTCCTTGGCCCGCGGCGGCAGCTCGTCGAGCGATTTGAGCGGGTGCGGCAGCGTGATGGCCGCGTAGGTCAGGTCCGTGCCCTCGACGGCGCTCGCGCTCGCGCCGGCGCCCATGGTGAGAGCGTCGAGGCTGCCCGCGGCGCTGGGAGAGTGGATACGGACGGCAACTTGGCCGGTGGTGCACTTCGAGAGCATGGCTCTTCGCTCTCGAGATAGGCCACCAAGCAGCTGACGTGTTGTGCACACCGGTTGCCTCAGCGTGTTGCTGCAACACACTGCGCCCTCGACGAGAACTGCTGCAATACGTAATCCGAAAACACCGGCGCGCCCGCGAGAGGAGATGGCAGCCATGCAGCTGGAAGCGCGCGATTTCGCGGCGCGGTTCCGGGAGATGCACAGCGTGCGGCTGCGACCAAACTTGCCGCCCCTCGAATTAGAGCAAGCACCGGCGACGCTCGACGACGGCGCCGCGGACCCGCTCGGCACGGGCTCGACGGTCTGGCGCGGCGGCGACGCGCTCGCGCGCGCGCTCGCGGCGGACGACGCGCTGCGGGGCGCGATCGAGGGCAAGCGCGTCGTCGAGCTCGGCAGCGGCACGGGCGTCGCGGGCCTGGCCTGCGCGGCGCTCGGCGCCCGGGCCGTCGCGCTCACGGACCTGCCCGAGCGCGTCGCGCTGCTGCGGCGGAACGCGACGCGGAACCGGGGCCACACGGTGGGCTGCGACGTCGCCGCGCGGCCCCTCGCCTGGGGCGACCGCTTCGGCGCGCTGGCGCTCGCCGCCGACGGCGTCGACGTCGTCGTGGCCGCGGACGTGTGCTACCGCGCGGACGCCGTCGCGCCGCTCGCGGCGTCGATCGCGTGCCTCATGGAGCGGGCGGCGTTGGGCATCGTCGCCTGCGAGCGCCACGAGCCCGTCGCCTACGCGGCGCTCAAGGCGACGCTGGCCGCGACGCTCGACGTGGCGACGCACGCGAGCTCCGACGACGGCCGCGTGGAGATCCTCCTCCTGCGGCGGCGAGCCGCGACATAAGAGGGCGGGCGGTGGGGGACATAAGAGGGCGGGCGGTGGGGGATGCGCGCCTAGGCCGAGGGCTTGGGCGCGGGCTGGTAGCGGCGCTCGTCGAGCTGCTCGAGGGCCACGGTCGTGCCGTCCGCGAGGACGATCTGCGGGTGCTTCTCCTCGATGAGATTCGGCGGCAGCACGGACGCGGGCGCGGGCGACACGCGGCCGCTCAGCTTGTTGATCTGCCAGTCCTGCTCCTCGTGGGGCGACTGCGCGGAGAGGTAGTGGTCCTCGGCGTCGCCGTCGTCCGCGAAGTCGTCGTCGTCGGACGCGACGTCGTCGACGTCCGCGGCGCCGGCGGCGGGCACGAGGCAGGCGGGCCCGCCCTCCTCCGTGAAGCCCCGCTTCCGCGCCGTCACGGGGCTCCCGAGCTCGCGCGACGCCTCCGCGTGCGTCGCGTCGGCCTGTCGCGCGCGGCCGC